CCGCAATGCGATCCAGTGCGTTCCAGCCAGAATCAAGCCGGTGTCTGGTGTGAATGGGCCCTTAATGCACATATCTTATGGGAAGATTATTGTTGAAATAAGTGGACTGGCAGTGGGATATATGTTTAAAGCCAGGGGGTCATCCAGGCAACTAACATCTGCAGAAGGAATCAGTAAAAGCAGCTTCCATGTTTTCTCTGAAGACATTTTTTTATCTTTAGACATAACTTCCTAAGTTTTCATATTGATGTGATCCGTAACTAAACTGTTGCCATCTCCTGAATGACGGTGCTGCTCAGGTGATCAGATGCCTATGGCATAACATCCACTTTTCATTAAAAAAAGCAAATGAACCGTCTTCAAGGCATGTGTGACAATTTTCTTCTGTTTGCTAAAGCTATTTTTACCTTGTTGTCTGGAAACCTCTATTTTTCCCATGCTAAGCTGCAGCCATAAGAAAGCTGTGGGTTTTTTTTTCCCCTGACGTTTTAAAATAGTTTACACTGGTTAGTATACTGTTGCCTGGCAACTACTCAGCTCAGTGTCTGTGGGCGAACACTAAGCATCCCTTTCTTATATACTTTAAGTAGTAAGTAATAGATTAGGGAAGTGGAAGTTTCACTGGGCAAAATCACCACAGGGTGCGTGTGTGTGTGTATGCTGACCTCTAGGCACATGTGCAAAAACCTGTTGATTCATTAAAAATTAAAGCTGAGCTCCAGGCACACATAAAAGACACAAATTGATGCAGACCTGTATCCTTAATACATTGTTAAATGCATTTTTAAAGTCGAAGAACCTAAATTTGACCATGTATCCGCCTGTACAGCAGAGCTCAGACTGGGGGAGGGAGAAGCAGCATAAGGAACCACTTGGGTGTAAGAGAATGTTGGGTGGAGGAGAAAGCAAACTGACAGAGAGATGAGCTCATCTTTCACAGTCCAGTCACAGGCTTAGGGGGAGGGACAAGACCTGTAAGTGTTTCTCAATTGCAGAAAAATGTGGTCACCTGCCACACAGGGCTGTGCTGCTTGGTGAAGCTGTGTAAAGCACAGGACTGGATGAACAGAGATACAAATCATTTGGCAGATAAAACAGTTTCCATCTATGTATTTAATCTTTGTTGAGTTGTTTGTAGGGCTGAAGCTATTCAAGCGCCATGAGCAATTACAATTATTAACAAAACAATTATAAAAGGTGGGAGAAAAGTCATTTTCGGTTTTGGCCTGACAAATTCTGCTGCGGGAGGTGCGTTGCACTGCCATTAATTTCAATGGCACCCCAAACGCGCCTCCCACCCACACTGTGATCGCCTGCACTGGAATGCACAGGACCGCAATGCTGTGCGATCCAGTGCAGTACGATTGCAAAACATTGTGCATGCAGTTTTACTCTGAAGTAAACTTTATGATTGTAACACTGCATTTATTTTAAATTAAGGATGATATTTTTTTTTTTTTTTTTTTTTTTATCAGATGAATCGAAAAAAGGATTGGCCAACTAATCGATTATGAAAATAATCATTAGTTGAAGCCCTAGTTGTTTGGCTGGAGTTCAGCTGTAATTATATTTTAAATGCTACAAGAGTAAGTTTCTGAATTTGTCTTCATACCAGATTCTTGTATTCTTTTATACAACAGCACTTAAACTGGGAGAGGGAGGGTTATCACTAGCAACCACAGCATACCATGTGATGACCGCGATCATACTGTGTGTGTGATGGAACTTCCCTCTTCCATCCCCTTTTTCCCTTGACAACTACATGTAGACAAATAGAGGATATGCATATAGTTTAGGACTTTGGTTTATTTGGGTGAAGAGGACTTTCAAACGGGAAATGTGCAGTCAATGAACATGCTAACATGAGGAGAGAAGGGATTAATTTATTAGTGTGATGCTGTTCCTTCTCAATTAGCAAGTTGGAGGTGTGTTCTTGACCGCGTTCTGCTGTGGTGGATGTCAACAACCTGGTCATGCTGTCTGACCTCAAGACTGGCTACAACAAATCGCAAACCTTTTGCCATCCAAAACAGTTCCCAATGTATGCTGCAGCCGGGGGATACTAGGATGGGTAAATAGGGATATTAAAATGTGTAGGATCTGTGTCTATGTTGGCTCTCATGACTACATGTTCTGTTAATTTCCAATAGCCCAACACTACTGGGAAATTGGTCCACACGCATTTTTGGACTTTACAGACAGAAGAGTTCCCTTGTACCCCTTTGTATATGTGTTTGGGGAAACCACACAACAACCTGCCCATAGTACATTAAAAATATGTTTGATGCCTCATTTCCCCCTTTTGGCAACCAACTACCACCCAGATCAACCACCTCTACTATGTAAATACCAATATATTCAGATGATAGGACATTTCACCACAAAACTTCAAAACATAATATCTGAATATGCAATTATGATTTCATTAAGGGTTTCTTCTTTTAATTCTATATTTACCTTGGGGTCCTGGTCTACACCTCCACCTTTTCCTCCCCTCCCTCCCCTCCCCTCCCTTCTGTTACAATTGAAAAATGTTTTAGCTTCTTGGTTGTGAGTAGGGTGATGTTCTCCATCACATTCATGAGCTGGATGGCACCATTTCCCATCTGCTATCATAATCTTATATTGCTGTTTTAGGTTTATGGTATCTTCTTGTGGATCCACCTCTACTATGTAAATACCAATATATTCAGATGATGGGACATTTCACCACAAAATTTCAAAACATAATAGCTCACTTAACTGACTATGCAATTGTCATCTCATTAAGGGTTTCTTCTTTTAATTTCTATATTTACCTTGGGGTCCTGGTATACACCTCCACCTTTTCCTCCCATCCCTTCTGTTACAGTTGAAAAATGTTTTAGCTTCTTGGTTGTGAGTAGGGTGATGTTCTCCATCACATTCATGAGCTGGATGGCACCATTTCCCATCTGCTATCATAATCTTATATTGCTGTTTTAGGTTTATGGTATCTTCTTGTGGATCCACCTCTACTATGTAAATACCAATATATTCAGATGATGGGACATTTCACCACAAAATTTCAAAACATAATAGCTCACTTAACTGACTATGCAATTGTCATCTCATTAAGGGTTTCTTCTTTTAATTTCTATATTTACCTTGGGGTCCTGGTATACACCTCCACCTTTTCCTCCCATCCCTTCTGTTACAGTTGAAAAATGTTTTAGCTTCTTGGTTGTGAGTAGGGTGATGTTCTCCATCACATTCTGGAGCTGGATGGCACCATTTCCCATCTGCTATCATAATCTTATATTGCTGTTTTAGGTTTATGGTATCTTCTTGTGGATCCACCTCTACTATGTAAATACCAATATATTCAGATGATGGGACATTTCACCACAAAATTTCAAAACATAATAGCTCACTTAACTGACTATGCAATTGTCATCTCATTAAGGGTTTCTTCTTTTAATTTCTATATTTACCTTGGGGTCCTGGTATACACCTCCACCTTTTCCTCCCATCCCTTCTGTTACAGTTGAAAAATGTTTTAGCTTCTTGGTTGTGAGTAGGGTGCTGTTCTCAATCACATTCTGGAGCTGGATGGCACCATTTCCCATCTGCTATTATCATTTTATATTGCTGTTTCAGGTTTATGGTAGTTTCTTGTGGATCCCTCTGAACATTTAAGCGTATCCAAACCCAAGAACAAAAGTGTAATATTCTTTTATCAGGCTATAAACCTTTTCAGCAAGTAGAGAATGTCCAGGTCATTTCTTGAAATAAAGCAAACGTATCTTCTGTTAATACTAATCCAATGAGATGAAGAAAGTTAGACATGGTTGAAGTCCAGCCTATGTAATAACCATGGCTCCCTTTCTAGATACATTGGAGAAATGAGTGAAGCCACCCAGGGACAAGAGATGTTTTATTTGCATGATTACTAGGGGGGGGGGGGGGGGGACAGGC